TTTTGGCCCTGAAGAGGGTGCAAAAGAATTCACACCCTGTAAATATGGTTCAGGGTTGCACCCTGTAGAATTTGCATACTGTGGTTTTGGCTCTGGAGAGAATGTAGAAGTATTCACACCCTGAGAAGGTAGCTCAGTGTTGCACCCTGTAGAATTTGCACACTGAAGTTTTGACTCTGAAGAGGAGGCAGAAGTACTCACACACTGCAAAGGTGGTCCAAGGTTGCAACTAGTACATCTTATACAGTGAGGATTTGACCCAGAAGAGGATGCAAAATGATTCACATTCTGCAAAGGTTGCCTAGCATTACATCCAGTAGAATTTACACATTGAGGTTTTGTTCCTGTAGTGCAGGCAGAAGAATTCATCCCTTGCAAATGTGGTTCAGGGTTGCACCCAGCAGAATCCATATACTGAGGTCTTGGCTCCAGAGCGCATGCAGGAGAATCCACACCATTGAAATGTGGCTCAGGGTTACATTCAGTAGAATTTACACACTGAGGATTTAGTCCTGAAATGGATTCAAAAGAGTTTATACCTTGCAAATGCGGTTCAAGGCAGAGCCCCTTAGATTTTATATCTTGAAACTCTGTTGTGGGTTTCAGATCAGATGATTCTACACCTTGTAACTGTGACCCAGTATTGACGGTTATAAAATTTTTACATTGAATTTGTGATCTTGGATCCAACTCAGGTTTCCCAACTTCTAATTCAGATTTTTGCTTGAATTCCAGAGACTGCTTATCTGGAGGTTTGTTTTCTGTGCACAACTCAAAAGACTTTATCCTTTCTAACTGAGGCTCATGGTTGAACTCTGAAGACTGCATACCTGGGAGCTTTGTTCTCAGACACAACTCCGAATTCACATCTTGTGACTGTTCAGAATTGAATTCCATAGATTCCACACCTTGAAGCTTTGTCCCTGGACATGATTCTGAAGATTTTATATATTGCAGATGTGGCCCAGAATGGAACACTGCAAATTTTGCACTTTCAATTTGTGGTGATTGCCCCAATCTATGAGATTTTTTATCTTGCTGATTTCCAGCATTGAGTTCAGAAGAAAGTTTTGCAAACTGCAATTCTGAGCCATCGTTGACCTCTGTAAAGTTTATTGTTGGTAGGTTTTTAGACTCAGATTTCACACCTTGCAACTCAGTGCTTGGGTTGAATTGCACAGATTTAATACCCTCATCATTTATTTGTGGTGTCAACATGGACAGTTGCCTATTTTGTAATGGTGGGGCAGAGCTGGACCTTAAAGGCTTCCTATCTCGTACCTTACTTAGAGTCAGTTGAGATTTCACACCTTGCTGCAGTAACTGAGGCATAATTCCAACTTCCTCTTTTTGAAGCTTTGTCTCTGGGATTATGCCAGATTTCACATCCTGTACGTATGGTCTAGAACCAAACTCTATAGATTTTGTATCTTTAAACTTTGTCCCGAGGACCAGATTAGAATATTTTACATCTTGCAACTGGGGGCCTGAGTTGAATTTTGCAGATTCCCCACCTTCGAGCTTTGTCTTTGGTAATAAAGCCAATATTGTGCCTTCTAACTTTGGATCACAGTTGAATTCTACAGACTTCACATCTTGAAACTTTGTCCCTTGAGCCAACTCAGATTTTGGGCTTTGAATCTGTGGTCCAAAGTTGGAATCCACTATCTTCACACCTTGAAGTTCTGTCCCTAGGATCATCTCAGGAGATTTCACACCTTGTACATCTGGTTCAGAACTGAAATGCATAGATTTTACATCTTGAAGCTTTATACCCATGATCAACTTAGAAGATTTTACATCTTGCAACTGTGGGCCTAAGTTGGATTCCATCAGTTTTGCTTCTTGAAGTTGTGTCCTAGGGGTTGACTCAGAAGATTTTATACCTTTCAACTGTGGCTGAGGCCTGAAGTCTGTAGATTTGACACATTCGACCCTGTTTTGCATGGTCAAATCAGAACACGGTATACCTTTCAACTGTGAGCAGGGGCTTAACTGAACACATTTTATATATTGGGGCTTTATCTCAGGTGTCAGCTTAGAACATTTTATACTTTGCCACTGAGGCCCAGAGTTTAACTCCTCAGATTTCATGCCTGGAGGTCTCGTCTGAAGAGCAAATTCAGGTGGTTTCATACTTTTCAAGTATAGTAGAGAGTTCAGCTCTCCATTTTCATTACTTTGTAGTTCTGGGCTATGGCTTAATATTCTGGATTTCACTTCTTGAAACTGTGGCTCTTGAATAGACACTACAGACTTCATACCTTGAAGCTGTGTTCCTGGGGATGACTTTAAAGGTTTTGCTTGAAGCTGTTGTCCTGGAACCAACTCAGATTTCACATTTTGCAGGTGAAGCTGTGGTTTCAACACCATGGATTTTACATCACAGAGCTTTGACTTTGAGGTCTGGTCATATGATTTCATACTTCTGCACTCTGGCCCAGATTTCATTTCAATGGGTTTGAGCCCTTGAGGCTGATATTCTTGGAGTGACACCAAAGATTGTATACATTGGAGCTCTGACCTTGGAGGTAACTCGGATGTCTTCACATTTTTCAAATACTCTGAAGGTTTCAGCTCTACAGCTGTGACACCTTGAGAACGTGGCCCAAAATTTAGCACAGATTTTATAACTTGGAACTCTGGTCTTGGCATCCACTCAATAGACTTCATACTAGCAAGCTGTGGCCCTTGGTAGGTCTCTGTAGATTTCCTTCCTTGAAGCTGTGGGTCTGAGGCTGATCCAAAAGGTTTTCCTTTTTGTAGCTCTGACCCTAAGATTAATGCAGGGGTTTCCCCACACTGTACCTGTGGCTCAAGGTCAAACTCTATTGATTTTGCACCTTGAAATTTTGGCTCTTGGATCAAATCGGATGACTTCATACCTCCTGACTGTGTGGAAGATTTCAATTTTTTAGGTTTGACACCTTGACACTTTTTTAGATTTAACCCTACAGATTTCACACCTTGGAAATCAGGTCCTGGTATCCATTGCAAAGATTTCATATTTCCAAGCTGTGGCCCTGAGGTTGATGCAAATGGTTTTCTGTTTTGTAGCCATTGTCCTGGGAACCATTTAGGGGTTTTCACACACTGTAACTGTGATTTAGTATTAAACTCTGTAGATTTTGGTCCTTGAAGTTTAGGCCCTTCAGTCAATTGAGATGACTTCATACCTCCTAATTCTGTGGAAGATTTTAGTTCTGCAGGTTTCATACTTTGAGATTTTGATCTGAGGTTTGACCCTGCAGAGGTCATACCTTGAAACTCAGGTTTTGATATCCACTGAATAGTTTTCATATTTCTAATCTGTGGCTCTTTGCTTAACTCTACAGTTTTTATATCTTGAAACTGTGGTCCTGGGGTCAACTTGGGAGATTTCCTATTTTGCAACTGTGGTTCATACTTGAGTGCTTTAGCTCTTACATCTTGAATAACTCGTTCAGGAACCAATTCAGATGATGTCATATCTTTTGACTGTATCTTGGAATTAAGGTGTACAGATTTTATACACTTAGATTTTGGCTCTGGAACTAACTCCAAAGACATTATACTGTCTGACTCAAATCCTCTCTTCAGTTGTTCTAAGTTTACATGTTTCCATCCTGGTAAATTTACAAATATCTGGCTATCTTGTTCAGGATTAAGAGTTAAACTCACTGGTGTCACCCCATGAAATCGTTGCTTTTGGTCTAAATCTACAGGTTTTACTCCTTGAAAACTTTGTCTTCTAGTTACACTCACAGATTTTGCCTCCTGCCTTTCTAGCCTTGAGGCCAACTTCATAGATCTTTCACATTGTAGCTGTGCATGTGGAGTATCCTCTACAGATTTTAAATTTTGTGGCTTAGTAAGTGGAGTAATAGCCACAAGTTTCATATCTTGTATTTGTGACTCTGAAGTAAGTTCCTCAGTTTTCATACTCTGGGTTTGAGGACTTTCAAGAACCTCCCTTGATTTAACAACTTGAGGCAATGGATCTGGTGGAAAAGCCATAGAATCCTTGCCTTGTATCTTCTGCCCAAGTTTCAGTTTCATAACTCTCAAATCTTGAATCTTTGTACCTGGAACTAACTCCTCAGTTTTCAAATCTCGAATTCTTGAACCTGGTGTCACCTCCATAGATTTTGCATCTTCTAGCTGGGGATTTGAGGTTAACTCCATGGATTTCAGACCTTCTAGGCATGGTCCTGGAGTTAAGACCACAGACTTTTTATCTTTCAACTGTAATCCTGAAGGCATCAACTCTGATTTTAAACCTTCAAGCTCTGAACCTGGGGCCAGCTCCAGAGTTTGTATGCCTCCTGTCTGTGGCCCTGGGTCTAGCACCATAGATTTGACTTCTCTTGAGTTTGACGTTGGTGTTAACTTCATAGAAGTCCTGTCTCCCAAATGTGGCCTTGGGCTTACCTCCACAGATGTCATCATAACTTTTGTATGTGGTTCTAAGACCAGCTCCCCAGATTTTAAACCCTGAGGCCTTGAGACTGGGGTCTGATCCACAGGTTTTATATCTTCTAGTTGTGGCTCTTGGATTAATTCATAATATTTTGTACCTTGTGACCATTGCCCCCTGGCCAACTCGGGATGGTTTACACCTGTTGACTGTGTCCCACTTGACAACTCCATAGATTCCACATTTGGTATCTGTGGCTCTGAGACTAATTTATAAGAAATTTCATCTTCAAATCCAGGTATTTGGTTCACTGTTACATATTTTCCATCTTGAAAACATAATTCTGGTACTAATGACTGCTGTTTAACCCCTTGTCTCTCTGGCTGTGAGGTCAGCTCTGAAAATTTTACACCTTGTAGCTGTGTCCCTGAGTTTAACTCTGGAGATTTCATACTCTCACCAGGTTGAGTTCCTGGTGTTAAATTTAAAACATCTTGTAGCCATGGCCCTTTAAGCGCCACCTGCTTCATATCTTGAAACCCTGGCGACATCTTTGCTAATTTGGAATCATACCACTCTAACTCTGGAGTCACTTCTGCAGAATTCACACCACTAATTTGCTCCCCGAATATGACACCTTGAAGGCTTGGCTCTGCTATTAATTCTGAAAAGTTGGTATTTTTCTGCCCTTGATTTACTTCTTCAAATTTTACATCTTGAAATTGTCGTTCTGAGATCAGTTTCATAGGCTTCATTCTATGAAAATGTGATCCTTTGGTAGACACAATAGATTTTATATCTTCAACCTGTAGTCCTTGACTTAAGTGCAAAGAGGATTCTGTTACAAACCTTCTAGGCTTTGTATCTTGAAGTTGAGCTCCAGGTTTTAAATCTGAAATCAAATCTGAAAATTTGACTTCTTTCAAACATGGTCCTGACTTTAGTTCCACTGGAGTAGACTGTACAGATCTGACATTTTGATGTTTGGACCCTGGGATAAATTCTGATGATTTGATTTCTTGCACGGGGGAACTTGGGGTCATTTCATCAGGTATCACACCATAATGTGGGGGCCCTAAGGTTAAGTCTATCGGTTTTTCTCCCTGAACTGACCCTGGAGATAACTTTGAAAATCTGACACTTTGCAGCTGTGGCCCTAGAGTCAACCCAGAAGACTTGACATTTGATTGCCCTGAGTCTAGATTTGAGTCCACAGATTTCACACTTGGAAGCTCTGCTCTGTTAGTCAATTCTCCCAATAAAATACTTTGTGGCATTTTCTCTGATTTTGGTTTCTTAGATTCTATGCATCCTGTGCTTGATGGTGGGGTTACAATCACACATTTTGTATCTTGCAAATGTGCTTCTGGATAAGTCTGCCTAGATTTTACTCCCTGGAGCTGTGGCCCTGAGGCCACATCAATAATGTTTGATTTTGATCCCGTAATTAATTCCATAGCTTCTACTACTAATGGGGATGACCCACAAGTTAATTCAACAGATTTCAAATTTTTCAGTAATAAACCTGATTTCTCAGGTTGTATCTCTGGTCTTAGAGTCAACTCAAGAGATCTAGTCTGTGAATGTGGTTCTTGGATAGCCTCCTGCATCTTATCGACTTGAGGAAACGATAACCCTACAGCTTCTGTGTCTTCATAGTCTGACTTTAGGGGTCTCTCCAACAATTTGGTAGCTTGTGAATGTGGTTCTCCATTCAGATGAACAGGCTTCATACCTTGGGGCTGTGGCTCTGGGGTCAATACCTCTGATTTCACACTTTGTACCTCTGATCCAGGTATCGAATCCAGAGATTCTTTTACTGTAGATTGTAATTCTGGAGTCAACCCTACCACTTTTATAGGTGAGAGCATAGTCCCAGTAGTGTCTTGAAATGATGATGGGATTGCTTTTATAGATTTTGAGGTTTGGCTCAGTGAAACAGGGATAATTCCTAAAGATGATTGCGTCAGCCCAATAGATGCTTCCACTTGGTGACGTGTATCAGAGGTCGATTTTGCAACTGTTCCTTGGTATCCTAAATCTGTGACCATCCCTAAAGATTCTGAGACTCGCTTCTGTGGGGCCTCTTGTTCAGGTTCTGTGGCACGGTGAGATTGATCAGGTTCCAACTCTATATATTTTACTGGTTGAAGGTGTGTGCCTGGGATCAATTCCCCAGATTTCATGCTTTGCACCTGTGTCTCAGAAGTTGACCTCCTACCTTCTATCGCTTGAGCAGTTTTTGTGTCTTTAGGCAATAGTACTTGGGCTACCTTTTCCAAGCTGGCATTTTGTAACCATGGCTTTGGAGGCAACTCCACAGATTTTGATTTTTCCAGTGGTGGCCTTAAAGTCAGCTCTACCATTTTTTTATCTTGACACTCTGGTGGTGGAGCCAAATGAACACACTGTATACCTTGAAACTGTGAATTAGGGATCATATCCATAGATTTGCTACTTGGCAGCTGTGTTGTGAAGGCTAACTCCTCAGATTTTACACTCTGTGATTGAAGTTCTGGGGCCAGATAGACAGATTTCATACTTGAGATTGGTTGTTCATATTTTACCGTTTGCAATCCTGAGGATAATTCTGTAGAATCTGTAAGCTTAAGTTGTTGTGATGGTGTCAACTGTACACATTTCTTATGTTCTGTGATTGTAACTGCTGGTGCAGCCAGTGCTGTTGAGTGTTCATTTAGGGAATGTATGGATTGGTGAGATGGTATTAGAATCTTCCTTGATGATTCCATCACTTTAAGTGGTGATTCTGAAAGTAAACTCTCAGATTCTACAACTCCTAGTGGAGTGATAGCAGTAGAAGAGCTAGGAGTCAAACCATCTGGTTGAGTTGGCTTTGGGGTCAAATTTGCAATTTTAGACTGTGAACCTGGGATAAAACCCTCAGATTCTATATCATGTGTCTGGACTGGCGGAATCTCCCCAAAACTCATGGTTTGTAATAATGGGATTATTTTCATGTGGTCAATGACCTGATGTAATGATGTTGAGGTCATTTCCAATGATTCTGGGTTTTGCTGTATTAGGTCCAGAGTAATCTTTATTTGTTCCATTAATTGACTTTGTGACCCTGAAATCCTATTCACTGATTCCATGACTCCGTGCTTTGTCCCTGGGGCCATTTCCACAGCTTCCAAAGTTGCGTGTTGTGGCATCATTGTGTCCAACAATGTACTCATCTCCCCAGACTCCATGGCCTCATATTGTGGCCTTGGGGTCATTCCTACTGGTTCTGCGTTAGATGGATGTGATTCACTAACCATTCTCTTAGAATCCACAACTTGAAGCAAGGCTACAGGAGTTATCTTCACATTATCTATGACTTGATTTAGTCTTGAGGTGATCCTATTTGGTTCTACAACTCGTTGCTGAGTCTCGGGGGTTACCTTTACTGATTCAGTTATTTGACTTGGTGATTTGGGAGTTACATGCACTGTTTCCATGACTTCCATTGGCTTTACAACTTGATTAAAGGTCTGTGGGAACAAATCCACAGAGTCTGACATTTCTGAACATGATTCTGGAATCATCCCTATTGAATCCGTGACCTGAAGCAATGCCAATGGAGTTATCTTGATGTTATCTGTGACTTTATAAGGAAGCCTTGGTGTCAGCTCCACATGAGTCACTTGTGGATTATGCTGCTGAATGCTTTTTTCTGGAATATCTGTGGCACTCTGCTCTGCACTAAGGTCTAGCACATGTTTCGAGTCCTTCTTCAGTAAAGCACTTTCTTCTTGAGTTCTGTTAACACCTAAATGTCTGGAAGATGGAGTGCTCATTGATGTAACCAAGTGTTTGGATCCAAGGATTTGGGGGTCATTCCCATGTTGTAACTGTTTACCTGAGATAAGTGAAAGTTTTGTTTCTGTCCTATTTAATCCAGATTCTACTCCAGTGTTCATATGCAGCTGAGATGATAGAAGATCTGAGAATGTATTATTCATATTTTGCTCAGTGCTTTGATGAATGAGTGTAGATAACTGGGTTTGGGAGTTCTCTAGTTCAGAGACACCTCCTGGTACTTCAATCAAATAATTCAGCATTGCCCATGATTTTTTCACAGGCACAGGCACTGTTTGTTCCTGCAAAGTACGAACCTTCCAAGACATATGGCCCTCTAGCTCCCCTCTAGCCAAAGGAGAGAGCTGGGGCAAAGACCACCCTGGGAGTTGTGGTCTTTCATTCAAAACAGAATTTGGCTCATAATCTAATGCCAAAGGATTCCTGCTCCTTCTCTTATGTTTTGTTTTTTCTTCTTGTTTGCAAACAGTTGGGGATTTAAATATCGTGTGAATAAAATAATTTTGTAGCGGTAAGTGTGAAACAGCTTCCAAATCCTGAAGAAGTTCTGGTCCCTCAGGCTCTGACAGCTGAAAAGGTGACAGGGTTGTGCGTTGGTTCCTGAACACAGATGGTTGCTTTCCACGGGAAACAGGCAAACGATTACTCTGGACTTGCCAAGATGTCTCTTCAAAGAAGGCAGGAAGGTAAGACAGGCTGGAGCTATTGCTTGATGATCCAGAAGAGATGCTGTGATCACTGGAATACGCTGTCTCCTCACAGATGCAACAGGATGGAGCAGTATCCTGAGCCTCAAGAGGAGGGGTGGTGGAAGAAGTCACATCCTGTGACTCCAGCAAATACAGTTCCATAAGACATAATCTAAGAAATAAAGAGAAAAACTTCTGTTTGTTCTGGAGTCAGAAAAAAGGAGGCATAAAACCACAAATGGAAAAAAGTGTCCTTTTCAAATGCAAAGTAATTTTGGCCTGAGGGAGAGTTGGAAAAGAAAAAAGTTATTTCCCTTCTCATCAAATAATGATGCAGAAATTAACAGCCATATTGGTCAAGAAACGTTAAAACTTAATTTTTTTTTTCCATTTGTACAGGGGTAACGCACTGTATTAAATATGTAAGGTCTTATCTACGTGGGTTTGATTACAGAAACTAATAAAGTATTCTCTAAATTAAAAAAAAAATAATAATGATGCAAAGTTCTTCCACTGGGCAAAGGAAGACAACTATTCTTGAAATAATTCTTTGACCCATTTGAACTCAGGACTTTTGCCACTGCCACTTTAAGCCAGGCATAGTGGTACAACACCTATGATATCAGCACTCTGGGAAGCTGAGGCTGGGCAAGTTCAAGCTCAGCCTTGGCAATTTATGGATTTAATGAGTATTTGCCTCAAAAAATTTTAGAACCAGGCATGGTGACATGTGCCTGTAATCTCAGTGCTTAGCAGGCTGAGGCAGGAGGCTTACCTCAAGTTCAAGGCCAGGATGAACTACACAGTGAGACCCTGCCTCAAGAAACAGAACAACAACAACAAAAAAAAAAAAAAATTAAAAGTTTTTTAAAGGCCTGGGGGTGTAGCCTAGTGCAAAGGTTTTCAGTTCAATCCCCAAAACCAGGAGGGGGGAACCCTCTTTTCCTCTTTGCCTACCTTTACTCTCTTCTTTTTCCCTTCTAAATGCCCTACAACTTTCAATCTTCCATCCAGAAACTATATTTGGTCACCTTGCACTTTCCAATTGTTGGATGATCTGTTGAAGACTCCTGACCATTGACCACAGTCTGTATTCCTCGGTCCAGTCTGCAGGAAATCCTGAAATACTGGATGAGACAGAATATGTCAGTGGTCAGTGTTACGGAAATGATATCAAAGCATCAGTAAACAGACCCTAAGAGGAGAGATTTTATACATATATATATATAAAACTCTCATAAGGAAGAGGGCCAAATATTTTACTCCTAACTTTTACAGTTTGACTGGTTTAGCAGGCTAAAGACAAACTTTGCTTACTGTGATAGGTCATCTTCACTGCATTCCATCCTGAGGTTTTCTTCTGACTCTGAGACTGGGAATCAGGAGGAAGAATCTATTAGCACTGTGACTATTGACATCATCCAACACAACCTTCTCATTTTGCACACTAGGAAACAAAGATGAAGTCATGCCCAAGATCATAACGCTAAGTGGTAGTGGAGCTCAGGTCTCAAGTTTATTTTACTTTATTTTTATTTTTTCTGTATTTTAGGGAAGGGTCTAGAGGGCATTCAGGGTCTCACTACTAGGTTGGACTTGTAGTGATTCTCCTGTTTACAGCCTCTCAAGTGCTGGGATTACAGGCATATGCCACCATGCCCAGTTTAGGTCTCAAGTTTAAAAAAAAAAAAAAAAAGATAATTCTATGCTGCATGAATCAGGTGGTAGACGTCGGCCTAGTGTAGAGCAGAATGATCACGGAAGTAAGAAGTTGGAGTGGGGGAAATAGAGGTCCAGATGCATCTTTTCCTTCAGAGGAGTCTATTTGACTTCTATGGTAGGGAAGAAAAGACACTGAGGCTTCTTCCCTTACCAAACTCTTAGTAGTTCATCTCTGTCTGTTCTCCTAGCTTACCATGATTCTTTCCCTTACTTTGGTCTTTGCATAAAAATTGAAAAAAAAAGAAGCCATGAGTAAAAGAACCATGGAAACATGTCTTTGAAGTACACATGCTAGAAGGAATAGGCACACAGGGTGGTGGCACAGGCCTATAGTCCCTGCACTTGGGAGGCTGAGGCAGGAGGATTGCCATGAGTTTGAAGCCAGCCTGAGCTACACATCTCAAAAACAAAACAAAATAAAATGAAAGAATAGGCACACTTCTTCCATTTACATCCTCCTTTTTCAACTTCCCTCCACCTGTTTTTTTTTTCTTTTCTCATTTTTTTCCTTTTCCCTCCCTTTCCTGCTCCCTCCTTCCTAGCTCACCTTCCCCATTTGATGAAATTTCCACCTGCTATTTAAGGCTAGAATTTTAAGGTAGATAGACAGCTGATCACACATTAGCCTTGAGCAGAAGAATGAAAGAGAAGATTGTTCTGACCTGTGCATTTCTGGATCTTTTTCAAATTACGTTGCTTTGAAATCTAGAGATCACAAAAAAAATAATAAATAAAATCAGGTTATTGCATTAGCTTTATATTGCTGGGATAAATTCACAAAATTTAAATGAGGAGGAGTTTAGTTTGGCTCCCAGTTTCAGAGAGCTCAGTCTTAGATGGGCTGACTTGGAGGCAGAACCATCGTGGTCCAGGGCATGCCAGAGGAAGGCTGTTTACCTCATGGTAGCCTTGACAAGCCAGAGAGGAAGGCGCCAGGAAGCAGCTATAGTCCCTAAGGTCATGCCCCCAGGACCCACCTGACTCATGCAGGGGTGTGCTTTGCTGCTCTCCTAGGCCTCTCTCCGCCCAGTCAAGTTGAAGATTACCTACCCATCAGAGTTATGTTATTAACCGACTTATTAGCAGCATATCTCATCTTATAAAGATTAGTAAAATAGCTGGCATCTAGAAGCATATCATTAATTACCACCACATTCATTTATGCATCATTTACTGAGTACTAAATTCTAGGTATTATATGGGGTTCTGAGGCTACAAAGATTAGTATGATTCCCATACTATAGACCTTTACTCACTAGTAAGGAACACTTGCCTAAACAGGGTAAGTTAAAATACCACATGGTAAAAGCTCTAACAGAAATACTGGCCACCCTAGGCTACATAGCAAGTTCAAGGCCAGCCAGGGCTATGTAGAAAGATCTTGCCTGAGAAATTTTTTTAATTAAAGAAAGGAAAGGAAGGAAGGAAAAGGGGAAGAGAAGGGAGAAAGATAAATATTAGGGAATACAGAGAACAGTGATTAACTTCTTGAGAGAGAAGGGAAGAATTAATTGTCATTTTTACTAAAGTTCGAAGAATCTGCAGAGTTTTAGGTGAAAAATTAGTAGGCCAGAGTTGTTACTGAGAAGATCAGCATGTTTTGATTGTCAGGTGCATCTTTGGGAACCTGTGGAGGATACAGTTGAAAAGGAAGACAAAAGCAAGATTATGCCTAATTGTATAATGTTAATTTTACTCTACAGAATTTCCCAAGAATATTATATATATATATATATATATATATATATATATTCAACAGTCATGTTGATCTGTTCTTCCTTGTCATTGCATAGATAAATCAATGCTACTTTCCCATTCTAGTTCCATTTCTATCTTATTCAAAACATTGATTCAGAGTTATCTGAGCACTTGTCTTCTGAATTATGGTTCCTAAGGCCTCAAATAAGTCCTTTTATTTTTATGGGTCAGCTTGAATTAATCAATATGCCTCAAAAGAAAGTGAGGAAACTCTTCATGGGCTAAAAATAAGGAGAAAATGAAAAAACAAGTAGAAAATGACCAGGTACTCTAAGTCCTTAGGTCATTTTCCTTGTCTACCAGGGAGGATCTTGGGTTAACAAGGTTAGAAGAAAGACAAAGCCCAGCTGAAGCATATATGTGGAACAGAGACTTTGTGGAAAAGAAAAAAAAAAAAAAACAGGATTCTCAAGTACTACATGTTCAGTGGAAATGTGGTACAAAAGTTGTTGATACTGAGATAAATTTTTTTTTCTCTTGTCTTGTTTTATTTTGTTTTGTTTTTCTTTTTGAGACCACGCATCTCTATGCAGTTCAGGCCGGCTCACTGGATAGGCCAGGCTGGCCTCCAACCTGCAGCAGTCCTCCTGCCCCCGCCTGCCAGGTGCACAGACGCACACCTCCATGCCTGGCTAAAATCCTATGCCTCAGACACAGACAAAATTAGAACCAGGAGGTAACAAAGGGAGCGTGACTGGGCCTGCATGCTTGAGACAGTGTTCCGAGGACTCTAAAAAGCCATACTAGAGATTCCTTCTCTCTTTACATGCTTCCATTTATTGCACACCTAAATATATATTTCTGTCACAAAGTTTAACAGTCTTTTATTTTACTTTGTGTGTGTGTGGCACTGAGATTAAAGTCAGGGCCTCACATAAACTAAGTGCTCTTTCACTGAGCTAATCTCTAGCCCCTTTTCGCTATGAGGGTGTGTCACGAAATTGCCCCTACTGGGCTTCAACTTGCCCTGCAATCCTCCAGCATTAGCCCCCCAAGTAGCTGGATTAGGGGTGTGCCTCCCAATACCCACCTATCTTTAACATTCAAGCCTGTAACCATTCATACAAGATGCTGTCGTCAGAACGCTGGGCTAGCAATGGCGCCTCTACCCAAAGCTGACGCCCACCTGCGCCTTAGGTCCTAAAGACCAGTGTACTTTATAAAAGTTCCTTGTACAAATGTCTAAAATTAAAGCAAAAATAAATCTTGTGAAATAAAAAAAATGTGACAGTAAGGAGAATAAACTAATTTGAATAACAACATATGAAAAAGTAAGCAACAATTAATTTTTTTTCTTTTTTGTGAGATAAGGTCTCATTCTGGAGTTCAGGCTGATCTTGAACTCCCTATATAGCCCAGGCTGACCTTGAACTTGTGGCAATCCTCCTATCTCAGCCTCCTGAGTGCTGGGATTACAGGTATGTGCCAGCATTCCCAGCTAAACAGGTTTTGTTTTTTTTTTGTTTGTTTGTTTGTTTTTTGCTGGCTCAGCCTGTCCTTAGGGCGGGGATGGTGCAGCATGTGGTACCAGGATCAAACCTCAGTCCCCTGCGTCTGCCTAAGCTTATCTAAGATGCTTTAAACTGCTGAGCTATCTCACTGGCCAACAGATAAATTATTAATTTAATTTGATTTTTTTCGGTACTGGGTGCTTGCCAGGGAAGCACTTATTCTAATAAGCCATCTCCCCGGCCCCTTTTTCTGTTAATTTTATTGAGAAAGAAATAGCAATGAGACAGTTTCAAAACAAGTTAGTAGGACAGTTACAATAATTAATACATTGCATATTGTTGTCTTCGTAGTAGTTATTCATAGCACAAGATGCAGATATGATATCTTATCGAAACACTATTAGTACAACTATTTCTTCTCATGGTAAATTCTTTTTCTTTTTTCTTTTTTTGGCGGAACAGGGGATTGACTCATGGTAAATTCTTATAAAAAATATAAAATACCAAAATTGGGCAAAAACAAATAGATCATTTTATTAAGCCAGTAAGCAGAAAAGTAACTGAAATAATAAAGACACTCTTCAGCAACATAATGTCAGGCCTCACCAAGATTTCTGAATACCTGAACAATTTATAAGTAGCCATAGCATTTCTCTATTGTAGCAAAAATTATAAAGATAAAATTTAAGACAACACAACAGATTCTTCATAATAGCAATAAAATGAAAAATGTACCATCATGCCTACCCCCAAGGAACAGTGAGGAAAGTCACCCTCACACTGAGAAGTTCAGGGGACTGGTTGAGTGTTACGGGGGAGCATTAACTACATGCTGACCTTGGCAGAATCTGTAGCTCAAGTTCACAGCAGCTGAATTGTTCCCCAACATTTCTAAGCCATGAGTTAATGTGGTCTGGTGGGTTAGCAGGATAGCTCCATGGACTACGCACCTGCTTAGGCAAGTGCAGTGGCCAAGTTTGATTTCCAGCACCACATGCCAAGCTGGCCTCGCCCCTGAGACCAGGCATGGTGGTGCATGCCTGTAATCCTGTAATCCCAGTGCTGGGGAGGCTGAAAACCATCTGAGCTGTGTAGTGAGACGCTGTACCAAATACATTTAAAAAAAAAAAAAAAGTGGTCCTCACTGGATGGTGTCATAGTCAAAAACAAGTGAAATACCCTCTAAGGCTTCAAAATATTCTCCTAAACTGCAGAAAATCATCATAGATATTGCATTTCATTAAATCTAAAGTGTACCATTATTTTATGTGTTGCTAGAACTAAAAAAGAACCTTGGCAGTTACATTTTTAAATGCCATCACTTGTAAAAACTAACCCAGTTTTAGAAATATTAACTATTCAAAAATAAGCACCTGTACAGAAACAATAGAAAACAGAAATAAACCTGGAAATACATCAGATATTAGAATTATCAGACCTAGGTTAGAAAATAATTACACATCTTTTGAGACAGGATGAAATCTGATAAAGATATTATCAGAAAGAAAAGTAACAGTTCCACATCTTTTGTGGACACAGACAAAATCCCAAACAAAATAGCAAACTAAGTACAGTGACATCTTTAAAAAAGAAGACTATGATGAACATGCTATATTTATTCTAGGAATTCACAGTTGGTTTATTATTGTTGGGGGGTTTTTTGTTGTTGTCTTTTTGAGACAGGGTCTTGCTATGTAGTTCAGGCTGGACTTGAGCTCACTTTGTAGCTCAGGCTGGTCTCAAACTTGCAAAGATCCTCCTGCCTCTGCCTCCTGAGTGCTGCTATCCCAGGCATGTGCCACCATGCCTGGCAACAAGTTTAACAAAAATATTAAACCCTGCGAGCCAGGCATCCTGGCACATGCCTGTAATCCCAGCAGTCCGAGGGATGAGTTCAAGACCAGCCTGGTCTATATATGAGTTCAAGACCAGCCTTGGTCTTGAGTGAGCTCAAGGTCAACCAAAATACATAGCAAGACCCTGTCTCAACCTGCCCCCCACCAGCAAAAAAAAAAGAAAGAAAGAAAATCTTTCAACAGGTTCCACCTCCCTAAGCTGCTACCTTGGCAACCAAATCTTAGCAGCATGAATTTGAGGATAAACCTATCAAAACCATAGGATGTGCTCATTCACAAAAGGGCAATGGACATGTCAGCTAACAACCTGAGTATGTGACCACCAAAATACTGAGTGGAAAAAAAAGGAAGGAAAAATGACTCATTTATTCCACAAACAAATGGAAAAAAAATGAAAGAAATATAGGCAGAGAAACTATGGATTAGAAAACATTTAATAGACACACCAATCTATCTCAGTATGTGATCCTGAGTCAAACAGATTCCAAATAATATAAAATTATTGCATTTATAAAACTATTGGAATTTGAATATTGATTGGTATATGACTAGGAAATATTGTTACATTTCTAGGTGTACTCATGATATTGTGATGGTGGATTTGGTGGCACATGCCTATGATCCCAGCACTCGGGAGGCTGAGGCAGGAAGACAGCCATGATTTTGAAGCCAGCCTAGGATAGATAATGAGTTCAAGCCTCTTTCGGGTCCTCTTTTCCAAGATGACGAAAAAAAGAAGGAACAATAGTCGTGCCAAAAAGGGCCGCGGTCGTGTGCAGCCTATTCGCTGTACGAACTGCACCTGGTGCATACCCAAGGATAAGGTCATTAAGAAGTTTGTCACTCGGAACATAGTGGAGGCTGCTGCTGTCAGGGACATTTCCGAAGCGAGTGTCTTCGACACTTACGTGCTTCCCAAGCTGTATGTGAAGCTGCTTTACTGTGTGAGTTGTACCATCACAGCAAAGTGGTCAGGAATCAATCTCATGAAGCCCACAAGGACTGAACTCCTCTACCCTGATTTAGACCTGCTAGTGCCACCCCACGACCTCCACCAAAGCCCATGTGAGGGGAGCTGGGTCTTAATGGACTGAAGAAAACTCTCTTGGGAACGAAATAATAAATTGAATGTTATACTTTAAAAAAAAAAAAGATAATGAGTTCAAGGCCAGACCAAACTACAGTAAGACACTAAAGAGATTTTTAAAAGCTCAATAATAACAACAACAGTGGTATTGTGAGTAACTATCGTGCTTGTTTTGGTTAAGCCCTCTCGCTATGTTGCTCAAGCTAGCCTTAAACTCCTAGAAGACTCCAGCAGTCCTCCTGCCTCAGCCACCCAAGTAGTGCTCAAAACTTTTTGATCAAACATTTTTAAAAGAATTCTTATGTTTTGGATATACTCACTAAAACATTTGAAACTAAGTTATATTATCTGAGACTCGCTTCACAATAACATGAGTTCAAGCCAGGTGATGGACCCATTTAGATTCATTATTGACTTCTATGTGCTTTTGATTTGTTTGAAATTTTCCATAATATACTATCACTAATAATAATACACTTTAACTACTATATAACCTTTTAAAACCCTGTATATTGCAGGCTAACTATTATTGAGAGAAAGGAAGAAAGTTGAAATAAATGAGAAAAAATTCATGGATTGGAAAACATTGTTAGGATGTTAGTTATCTTGGACCTAAACTATAAATTCAGTGTCATCCCAATTAACACCCCGTGTGTGTTTGTGTGACAATTAACAGGATGATTAAAAAATTACAGGAAAATATCAGTGATTTAGAACAGTGGTGGTGAACCTGTCACACGAGTCCGCAGTGGGCGCACAGAGCCCTCTCTGTTGCTGCGCAAGCCAAGTGGCCTGAACAGCCGAGCATCCCATTAACAGTTGTCTTTTTCTAAGCTAAAATCTCAGTATTTGGATTTAATTGAAGTGTTGGCATTCTACAGTAAATAAGTAGTTTTGGGTGCAGTGTGGGAACTCGTCTCTAAAAGGTTTGCTATCACTGATCTAGAATAACAGTTGCAAGAAGATCTAAACTGGATGCCTCATACATTAATCAATTTCAAGATGCCACAAAGGTACATCATTAAATACAGTGAAGTTTCAGTTTAAGGGTAGACAAATAGATGAATGTGGAAAAATTGAGTCTCCAGGGCTGGCCAAATAGCTCAGCAGATTAAAGCGCCTGATTAGGCAGACACAGCAGCCGGTTCGACCCGTGCCAGCCCCATCTCAGGGGTGCAACAAAGTGGCAATTGAGACTGGGTGTGGTGGTGTGTGCCTGTAATCCCAGCTCTTGGGAGACTGAACACACGCAGATCACTATGAGTCCAATCCCCATAGTGAGACCTTGTAGACCCTGTAGACCCCGTTCTAAAATTAAAAAAAAAAGAGTCTCGAAATAGGCCACACATACACTTTTATCTGATTTTGGGCCAGTTACCAATGCGATCCAGTGACAAAAACCTTCTCAGTAAACAGTGTGGGAAGAAAGAACCGGGATGGGTGAGGTAGCGAGGGCCAGACAAATGCAGAGAACATTTAAAATTTTGATATTTTGCTCTTCAGGAATTTTTGCTTTAATTTTGATTTATCAATCATAATGAATTAAGCTGGGCTTGGTGGTGCACACCTGTAATCCCAGGACTTGGGAGACTGAGGTAAGAGAACTGCTGTTGAGTTCAAGGCCAGTCTGCCTAAACTACATAGCAACACCCTCGCAAAAAAGCCCTGCTAGGGGCTGGGGAGATAGTTCAGTGGTCTAAGGCCTGACCGGCAAGCACAAGGACCCAGGTTTGGTCCCTCTTACCCCATGCCAAGCCGCCCCGGAACACAGGGTGAGACCTGCCGGCCACCAAAACTGGGCATGGTGGCAGCACACCTGCAGTCCCAGCAGCACTGGGGAGGCTGAGACAGGAAGATCACTACGAGTCTGAACTGCATAGTGAGACCCTGTACCAAGTAAATAAATAAAACAAAGATTTTTTTTTTTAAAAAAAAAAGCCCTAACAATGGTAATGATGATGAATTAAATAACTTGATTGACTACAAAGTGTTTAGTTTTTTTTTTTTTTATTTTATTTAATTTATGTGTGTGTGTGTGTGTGTGTGTGTGTGGCCAGCTCAGCCCACCAGGGGGCGGGGCTGGCTGGCATGTGGTGCTGGGGGATTGAACCGCGGTCCCTGTGCTTTACTAAGCTTGTTCTAAGTAGGTGCTTTAGACCACTGAGCCATCTCACCAGCCCTTGTTTTTTTTTTTTTTTGAGACAGGCCTTACTATGTAGTTCCAGCTGGCCTCTGCCTGGCAACGATCCTCCCACCTCAGCCTCCATAGTGCTGAGATCACAGGTATGCACCACCACGCCCACCTAATGTCATTTAAATTTGTATCTGAGATGAGTGTGAGTGTCTTGGTTATTTTACCCTAAACCCTGCCCTACTGAAGGAATTAGATTTCTAAACAGGGTTAGGGGAAGAATTTTGGCCCCTACATTCATCACAGGAAAAGTACTCTGAGATGGACCCCGAGACCTAAATGTGAAAGGGAAAGAAAAGTAAGACTCCTAGAAGAGGCATAGAAGATTTATAGCCCAGAGGTAGTCAAAGATTTCTAATACTAAGAGAGGTATTAGAAAAGGGAGGACTAGGCATAAAAGCAAAACCTGATAGATTTCATTAGCATTACGAATGTCACACCAGCCATGGTGGTGCATGCCCGCAATCCCAGCTCTCTGCAAGCTGAGGCAGGAGAATCACAAGTTCCAGCCCAGCCTGGGTTGCATAGTGAACTACATAGTGAGACCCTGTCTCAAAAAAACCAAACAAAAATAAATTTAAAAAATTAAAATAAATAAAATTCAGAACTTCTGTGAAGCTGTTATTATCAAGTTAAAAGGTGAGGCACAGAGCGGGAGAATTTAGTTTTAATATCTATACCTGGCAGAAGATTCCTGTTCATTATATATTTTTTTTGAAAGATTGCTATATATTCCAGCTTGAACTGATTACATAGCCCAGCCTGGCCTTCTTCCACTCTCAGTGATCCTCCTTCTGACTGTAGAATGCTGGGATCACAGATGTATGTCATCATGCTACCTGTTCATATTTTTAAAGAATTCTTATTAAACCAGTAAGTGAAAGACTGACAACCCAATCCTTAAAAAAAAAAAAAGACACAAAACATTTGCATAGGCAGGCTACAAAAGAGAATTTCCAGCCGAGCATGTAGTCCTGGCACTTGGGAGGCTGAGGCAGGAGCATTGCTGTGAATTCAAGGCCAGGTTTGGCTATATGGTGATTTCAAGACCAGCTTGGATAAAACTATGAGACGCTGGTTTTAAAAAAGTAGAGGAAAAAAATGTAGCATAACTGGATTATCAAAACTACTCACGGGAGTATAAATTGGTGTAATCAATTTAGAAAACTAACATCCATCATCTAAAAAAGTTAAACACAGATAGATACCAGGTGGCCAGCAGTTCTTCTTGTTATAATCTGTGCAATTGATTCCAATTTTGTAACTGTTTGATTCCACTGTAACGTTATTAACTGTTATAACCTGTCATATGCGCCGCCATCTTGTTCTGTATGCGCCATTCTAAATGCTGTAACTTTCCACTGTGCCCTTTCTCTACTTGAGAACCTGCAGTTGGGCCTTTCTCACGCAGTCCTTTGTACACACCTGAATCTAGTTCTGGCCCAATGCCCTGTTCTTGCCCTCGTTCCCAGCTACAAACTGTACCCACTACTGCACCTGTTAATGTTCATTAGAAACAGGTAATTTTTCAACTGTAGCCCCTAGACGAACCCTTGACATCAGCTTTTGTGGGTTATTGGCTTAAATACCCACTCCTCTCATCCTCCCAGCATGCACCTCAGCATCTTGCCGGGGTGTCTGCCGCTGGGTACCAGCTAAAAATAAAGCTCTTCTTTTCTTTTCGAGCCTGCCTCATTTTTGAGTTACAACACTTCTATTGCAAATAAGGATTCCACCCACATTGTGTTGTTTTCAGTGAACATCCTAAAACCTTCTTTGTTATATAGGTATAAATTTTTAAATTATAAAACAATAAACAATTGGTTTTTTGAAGTGCAACAGACAAGCATTCCAGATATTGGGCTGGGTGTGGTGCGCATGCCCATAGTCCCAACAGTTGGATGGCTGAGGTGGGAGGATTGCTGAGTTGAAAGTCAACTTGACCTACATAGTGAACTCTGGTCTCAGCAAATAAATTAAAATTAAAACCCAGAGCTCTCTCAGAAGGCCTTTACAACTCCACCTGGTCTGCACTACTCTCCCTGCCAGGTCTTGGCAAGATTGGCGCCTCTCCTCTGTCCTCTCCTGCTCTTGCCGTGAGGCTGAGAGGCCTCAGGTGTGCGCACTGTTCCATTCCCTGAGTACCTAGAGCGGGCGTGGTGTTCCACTCTCCCTCACTCTCTATTACTGGACCTTGAGCTTGTGGAAGTGAACCCAAGACACAGGCTGCAGTAATGCATTTGAGGACATCGCAAGCCCTGACTCAGTTCCCTCTACTAAACCAGAGCGTGGGCTCCCCTGTGGCCTCAGCAACACAGCAGTGGGTGTCAAGGAAGAGTTTGGTCACATACCTCTGAGTCTGTCTTGGCTCCTCCCCTCCTCCTGCTGTAACACGTAGCAAACAGCACACCGACCCCCAAAACAAGGGCACCAAGTGACAGCAGAAGGTTGAGATAGGGCGGCTGTCTGATAACCAGCTCCCAGATTGGTGCCATCCCTCAACCCTGTGCCCTTCTCTGCCATAGAACTGTCTGGCTCAAGCCTGTGGTTCCAAGTGAGATCACAATGCGCATTCCAGCACAAACCCACAGAGCCTGCCAGTGTGCCTGCTCCAACACCCTCGGCAGCCCCTCTGCTGCAGCTCTGCTCTCACTGTAAAGCTCAAGGAACCTGGAGCAGCAACACCTGCCTCTAGTGCAGCTTCTCGTGAGGCTAAGGCAGGAGGACCCCAGGCTCGAACCCAGCCTGGACAATGTAATGAAGCCTAAAAAAACAAGGCTGGGGTTTAGTAGAGTCCTTGTACCATAAAAACAAACGCAAGGAAGAGCTCATTGATGACTTGTCTAGGATAAATTGTCATTAAGTGGGTGTAAGGAAGCAAAGTTTCAAAGGAGCAGGTCTTCCAAGTAACTTCTTCTGCACTATGAACATTTCTCGGGCATCAGTCACTCCTTAGAGGTCCGGTTATGGTGTTGTAGGCAACTGAGTCAGGAATTTTTTCTTTTTTGCGGAACCAGGGATTGAACTCAGGCCCTTGCACTTACCAGAGAAGCGCTTACTCCACTGAGCCATCTTCCCGGCCCCCGAGTCAGGAATATTATAGGTAGTGAGACAGGGTTACCTGGAAGGAGCCAGGATGGAACATGAGATACCTTGAAACTTTGGGAGAGACAGGGACTTCCTGTGGGCCAGACCTCGAGACAAAATATGAAATAAATACACTCATAACTGCTAAGGATAAACATCAGGGACTGATATTTTAAACAGGTATAAATCACCTTGAAAAAGCCAGGAAGAATCACTAACCCAACCCCCTAGTGGATAAGTCCCTGTTCTATATTCATATCTGCTTGCTTTGTGACTCGCTTCCCCATTTGATCCTGATTTAATCAATTTTACCTGAACTATTTTGCTTGTGATCTTATTGGCTGACCATAGTTTCATCTCATCTCATGCCCACCTTGTGAGTTCCCATTTTTCCCACCTTAGACACAGCTCACCTTGTGGATTTGCTCTATAAAAACCCCTAGAAAATGCAGGTTCCTCAGCAATCCATTCAGGACCCCTTCCGTCTCTCTCTCAGATAGAAGCTTTCTTTCCCCCAATAAATATACTCAGCTCTTAACCTCCGTTTTTCCTAAAACTAATTCTTTAATTTTAGAGAATGTGAACTCATCCCAGATATCTAGCAGGTTGAGGGTTTCTTTACCCTGCATCAGTGGTGTCACATATTCCAAACCATAATCCAGAACACAGGGCCAGACATGCAGGGCATGGTGGCCTATGCCTGTAATTCCAGCAGTTGGAAGGCTGAGGCAGGAGGGCTACATGAGTTTGAGGCCAGCCGGAGCTACATAGTGAGACTCTATCTCAAAAACAAAACAAACAATTTAATCCCTGATGCAAAAAAATTTACAAGGAATCAACATTTAAAAAATTTTTTCTTTTTCTTTTCTTTTCTTTTTTTTTTTAGGGAAGGGTCTATAGGGTGTTCAGGGCCTGTTTACAGCCTCCCAAGAATTGGGATTACAGGTATGTGCCACTATGCCCAGTCTCAATTGCTGGCTCATTGTGCTCCAGGGGCAGGGCTAGCACAGCAGGGCCCGGGATTAAACCCCTGGCCCCTGCACCTGCTTGCAGGTGCTTTAATCCGCTGAGCTATTTGGCCTGCCCACAAGGAATCAACTTGTACTCTGTCAAATTTAATAGAATGCTACAACAGTTTTTTTCTAATAGGAACATTAATGTAGACAAATCAGTCCAGTGGACTATTGAATAGCAGGCACTGTCTTAGGAGTCAGACATAGTAGTGGGGCATGGTGGTGAACACCTGTTATCCCAGCTACTCAGGGCTGAGGCAGGAGGATCACAAAGCTTAGCGTGGGCAATTTAGCACGACTCTGGCTTAAAATAAAATAAAATAAAATAAAGGGCTGGGATATAGCCTACCAGTAGGATGCTTGCTTGGCTTGGCATGAGCAAGATTCAGGGTTTAATCCTGAGGCAACCTAAAGAAGGTTCTTGAAAGCCAGGTGTGGTAGCATACACCTCTAGTCCCAGTCCTTGGCAGGCTGAAGCAGGAGGACTGTTGTGAGTTTGAGGCCAGCCTAGGCTACATAGTGAGTTAAAGGCCAGCCTTTTTTGTGGGGCCAAGGATATAGCTCAATGGCACAGTACCTGCTTGGCAAGTGCAAGGTTCTGAGTTCAATTACTAGTACAAAGAAAAGGGTTTAATTTTTGTTTAAACCTACAAGTACAATAATAGTTTTAAGGGCTAGCCAAATAGCTCAGTGGATTAAAGCACCTGCAAGCAGGCACAGGGGCCGGGGGTTCAATCCCCAGACCTGCTGTGCCAGCCCTGCCCGGGGGGTGTGCAAAGACAGAGATTGAGACTGGGTAGGGTGGGGCCCGCCTGTAATCCCAGCACTTGGGAGGCTGTAAACAGGAGAATCACTATGAGTCTGATCTAGTAGTGAGACCTTGAACATCCTGTAGATCCTTCCCTAAAATACAAAAATAAATAAATAAAATAAAGGTCTTGAGTTGTGAAAACAATGACAAGGAAACAAAAATACAAAAAGGGCTGGATATGTAGCTCATCAGATTAGCATCTCTGGGTTCAATTCCTAGTACAAAAAAAAAAAAAAAATCTTGGAAGGCTAAGGCAGGAGAATTACTGTGAGTTGGAGGCCATCCTGGGCTACAAAGTGAGTTCAAAGTCAGCCTGAACTACATAGTGAAACAAACCCTATCTCAAAATAAATAAACAAATAAAAGCAAGCCTTTGTTTATAGGTGCTATGTCTTGGATGTGAACTGTCTCCCACGGATTCATAAATTGAAATTTAATCCCTGTTGTGAACCATTAGGAGAAACTCAATCCAAGTACTGGGGTTCACAAGGGGTGCCTTCAGGGTAGCAGACAGGTAATTAGACTTACACAAGGGTTTCAAGGTAAAGACCGTGATAGGACACTGAGGCCTCAGGAGAAGAAGGAGAGAAACCAAAAGAGACATCCAGCACACTGCTCCTGGTCTCTCTCCCAGTGGCCCTGCCCTCCTCAGGAGTTTGCCAGCATAAAGGCTTCCCCAGATGCAGTCCCTTGATCTTGGACCAGAACTGTGGAAAACAAACCTCTTTTTAGCCTGTATCCAGTATTTTAAAAAAAACAAAAAACACTTTTCGTCCATTTGTTTATTTGGTACAGGGTCTCACTACACAGCTCGGACTCATAGTGATCCTTCTGTCTCAGCCTCCCCAGTGCTGGGATTACATGCATGCACCACCACACCCAGTATCAGTGGCTGGCTCAACATGTTCAGGGTTCCAGGGGTGGCACAGCATGCAGTACAGGAGATCAAATCCAGTTCCTTGTACTTACCAGGCAGTCACTTAGACCGCCAAGCTATCTCCCCAGCCCCCAGGTTTTTTTGTTTGTTTGGAACATAAAATGGACTAATAAAATATTCATATAAAAATACATTCTCTGTGCACTAAATTTTTATTCACCTGGTGTGAAGGTGGTGGCTTCACAGTAGAGCAACGTCATAGATTTGATTTCCAACAGCACTGAAAGAACACAAAATTTAAAGAAATAAAAATTTTACACATACTTAAAAATAAGTTGTATGCTGCAGTTGACATTAAAAGAGTCTGCACATGTCCTTTTGACTAACTTTGCTGTTCTTTTTTTTTTTTAATTTTATTTGTGTGTGTGTGTGTGTGGCCAGCTCAGCCCACCAGGGGGCGGGGCTGGCTGGCATGTGGTGCTGGGGGATTGAACCGCGGTCCCTGTGCTTTGTTTAGCTTAGCTTGTTCTAAGTAGGTGCATTAGACCACTGAGCCATCTCACCAGCCCCATGTTCTTAATGTTGAACTTTGTATTATTTCTATGCTTTTGTTCCATTGATGAGTCCATCACTGACTCATAAGACAAGTATGTAGATTTTTCAATTGTGTGAGTTTATTTCTCCTTTGAGATACTCTGCTATCTGCCTTGGCAATGAGTTACAGCCCAGCCACCTGCCTTTTATTTTCTATTTTTATTTTATTTTTGTGGTGTTGCTGGAGATTGAATCCAGGTCATTATGCATGCAAGGCAAGAGCTTTACCACTGAGCCATATCCTCAGCCCCCTTATTTTGTTTTTTGGAGACAACCTCACTGTGTAGTACAGGCTGGCCTTGAATTTATTTTATAGTCCAGGCTGGCCTCAAACACACAGCAATCCTTCTACCTCAGCTTCCCACGTGGTGGGGTGGCAGGCATTTGCTACCATGCCTGGCCTCCTTTGGTTTAAATATTGGATACAAAACACAATTTTAAAGTATGTTATTTGCAAGAGACATGTTGAAACAAAAAAGATTTTAAGTAGGGCATATAATCCATTTACACTTAGCATAACTATTGAAATACATTGGAAGCGGAACCTTCATTCTTTTACTATTTTGTCCCATTGTGTTTCTCCTTTTCTCCTTTCCTGCCTTTTATTTTGAGAATCATTTTTTGTTTGTTTGTTTTGTTTTTTGAGACAAGGTTTCAATATGCAGTTCCAACTAGCCTCAAACTTGTGGCACTCCTGCCTCAGCCTCCAGAGTGCTGGGTTACAGACGCGCACCACCAGGCAGAATGAAGATGATTTTTTAAGTGATGCTATTTTCTCCTTTGCTAACTGGAATGATTTTTATTCTTTCTATACAGGAGTTGACAAAACTGTAGCCCATGGGTCACAGTGAGCCTGCTTCCTGTTTTTTCAAACAAAGAGTTATGGCTGCCCATCACACTCTTTTAAAATATTGTCCATGGCTGTTTTCATGCTACAACATGACCGCAGACTCGCTCCACAGGGGATTATTAGGCTTTCACAGACTAAACTACTTACTGTGTATTCATTTACATTAAAATTTTCCAATATCCCCACACACACATACTTTTTTTGAGACAGGGTTTCACTTCGTAGTTCAGGCTGGCCTTGAACTCCAAGCAATTTTCCTGCCTCAGCCTCCTGAGTGCTGAGATTACAGCTCTGTGAAATCATACCTGGCTACACCTAGTTCATATCTTGAATTTATCAAATTTTTTATTGTTTTATTCAGGTGTTGTGGTGTATACCTGTAATCTCACCTCTGAGACAGCCTTCACCTACATTTCAAGACTATCTCAAAAAAGCAAAACAAAACAAAATAAAGCAACTTAAAGGTCTTATAGAGAGCTCAGAACGCTTAAAATCTTTTAATTCCATTTACCCTTTTCTATAAATTGTATTATTGTAGTTAGGAAATTTATTTTTTTAAATAAGCCTTTTATTTTAGAATGATTCATATGGCCAAGTAGTACAGTGAGCCCTCATGTACTCTAGTCTCATCCAACCTTTACATCTTATACAACTTTGGTACACTTGTCAAAACCAAGATTAAAGGGCCTGCCAAATAGCTCAGTGGATTAAAGTGCCTGCAAGCAGGCACAGGGGCCAGAGGTTAGATCCCCAGGCCTGCTATGCCGGCCCTGCCCCTGCGGCAGGCTGAGAGGGCAATTGAGACTGGGCATGGTGGCGTGGGCCTATAATCCCAGCTCTTGGGAGGCTGTAAACAGGCGGATCACTACGAGTCCAATCTAGTAGTGAGACCCTGAACAACCTGTAGACCCTTCCCCCCAAAAAGACCCCCAAGATTAACATTGGTATATTTACTATTAACTCAACTGCCAACTATATTTGGATTTCATATTTTCCCACTCATGTCTTTTCTGTTCAAAATCCAACTCAGTGTACCACTTCGTATTTAAGAACTTTTGGGGAAAAGGGGGCTGATACTGGGACTCAAACTCAAGACCTTGAATTTTCCAGGCAAGTGCTTATGCCACTAAGCAATATCCCCAGCCCTATATTTAGGACTTTGTTTACAGTTCTGAGACTTGAACTCAGAGCCTAGCTCATGCTAGTCAAGCATTCTTCCGTGAACTATACCCCCAGCTCCTAAGCAGGTATTCTGTAAAATTTCCCTAGATTTCAGTTTCTGTGTTGTTTTCTCTATGCTTAGACAAAGGTTATGTGTTTGGGGAGGAAGAATACCAGAGGTAGCAAGCATACCCTTCAAATATCATATCAGAAGGTACATAAAAAAAAGGAGGTACATGATATTAGCTGGTGATACCAGTCTCAATTACTTGATTATGGTCAAGCCTATGAGTTTTCTCCACTGTAAATTTGCTATTTTTTCTCTTTCCATACTTTGATTTTTGGAAGTAAGCCTCTAAACCTAATCCACTTTGGAGGTGTGGGGGTGTGGAATGATTGAACTCCATTTCCTAGACAGGGATCTACCTATATATCACTATCTGCATCTGTGTATGTACCTGTATTTCTATCTTTATCCCTATTTGTATCTCTGTCTATCTCTATCTCCATCTCTATGTATCTGATTTCTTGTGCAGAAAAGTTTGTCTAAAGGCTGGGGCGATGGCTCAGTAGAATAAGTGCTTGCCTGGCAAGCATAAGGGCCTGAGTTCAATCCCCGGTTCCGAAAAAGAAAGAAAGAAAAAAAAAGTTTGTCTCTCCTCATCATATTCTATCCATTTACTTTTATTGATATGAATTTGTGTATATTTATCACATAGTACTTTGTGTTATAGTCTAATACAGTACTATGTTACTTATTTTGTTGTTCAGTTGCTCCAACTTTTGCCACCAGGCACTCCTCTCATCCTGGCACCTGTGTCCCTGTGACATATTCATCACCATGGGGTTTTGAGCAACCCCTCACTTTCTCACACTGTAAGATGTTTAGGGCTCCTTTTCCTGTCTCTCTGGCTCCACAGTACATGGGTTACTAGTTTTAAAGTGAATCAATTCATCCCTCTCCCATGATGGCAGCATTTTGTGCCACCTAAGTCAATGCCTGTCCTAATCCTACAGTTTGAACCCCTGTCCAAGCCATGCCTGCATTTATAGGCAATCTTAGACATTTGTCTTTGTTTTTAGAGTCCACCTCCAGAGTCAGTTGAAGGCCCTTCCCTCCTCTACACATCCTACCATCCACTTTGAACTCCACAGCCCATCTACCATCCAAGACCTGGCTCCAGCCGAAAATCCAAGATCACCAAAGGGTTTTTTTTCTTTTTTCTTTCTTTTCTTTCTTTCTATGTATTTGGTACAGGGTCTCACTACACAGCCCGGATTTGTAATGATCCTCCTGTTTTCAGCCTCCCCAGTGCTAGGATTACAGGCATGCACCACCACACCTGGACTCAGTGGCCAGCTCAGCGCGCCTGGGGGCAAGGTTGGCCCAGCATGTGGTGTTAGGGATTGAGTACTGGTCTCCGTGCTTGCCTAAGCAAGTGCTTAATCCACTACACTATCTCGCCGGCCCCAAGACCACCAAAGTTATAAAGAGATTAGCGAGCTGATTTGGAGATCAGAAATGCCATTTTTACTACATTCAGCTTGAGGCATGTGCAAGATCCAAATATCTTCTACCTGATCCTTTCTTTTTTTAAGTCAAGAATGGAACACAAGACCTTGCACTCACCAGGCTAATGCTATGCTGCTGAGCTATATCCCAGCCCCCCCACTTCTTGGTTTTGATGAGGATATCATTGCCTCCATTTTCTCCAGCACAATAAAGATCATCGGGTGAAACCCATTAGTCAGTTTCAGCATAATTACTATCCTGTATCGACAATAGACCATGCCATAGTTTTGCAGGCAGGGTGTGTGTGTGTGTGTGTGTGTGTGTGTGTGTGTGTGTTGCTGGGACTGAAACCAGGGGCCTGCACTGCTAGACCAGTGCTGTCCCACTAAGCTGCATCTCCAGCCCCTCAGTGATAAATTTTCTTTGATTGTTCCTTTACCACAACCTTCTTCTAAAAATTCCTTTAAGATTGAGCCTATGCTGTAATCTCTCACAGCAGTTCTGACAGTTCTCTATTCTTAACCTGCTGCTCCAACCCACTTCAGCTCCCTGCATCTTGTATTAGAATCACCTATATGTGTTTTTACGTTTCTACGGCATAAGGTTCCAGTCTTTGTCACCTGTCTACTCTGACTGCCACAGTGTGACTAGCCTCTAGTGTTTCAAAGCTGAGCAGTGAACCTTGTTCACGGACACCTGAGTATCACGTTGAACTATGTAAGAATTAAATTCTCTGGATGTCTTTACACCATCTAAGTGCTTTCAGGTAAAAGACATGAGCTGCGGAGTCCTCTTGCATGTCGTGTATGGGAAATCTAATCCTGCGCTGACTTCCAGCTCATGTGAATGTGGGCAGCATGCAGAGATTCAAGGGGTGCTCCGCTCCCTTGGGCTCTAGAAAGCTAGATCTCTTCTCTGATGACTTTGCTTATGACATCAAGGTACAAAGTGAAGACACGCAGGAGAGAGTCGTGGGGACAGGAGCTGATGGCCTTTGCAGCCTCCTTGCCTAACTGCATAACTGCAGCCCTCTGGAACTGCAGACTTAGGAAGAAGTGTTTCTGGAGGGTGAAAGACAAAAAGGTGCGACACTCAGAAGACACGGGGGGGGGGGGGGGGGGGGGGGGGGGGGGGGGGGGGGGGGGGGGGGGGGGGGGGGGGGGGGGGGGGGGGGGGGGGGGGGGGTGCTGGTTAACGATCTAAGGCGGCAACGTAAAGAACAGGAAAACAGCTCAGAGAGAGGCTGGAGGTCCACAGCCGTATGGCGGGGCCTATGGCTGCCTTTCAAAGATTGGTTACCCTTATAAAACTGAAATCCGGCTCCTCAGTCACCACGATCCGGCCCAAAGGTCTCAGTGACCTTCGCGAGGGTTTTATGCCTGAGCACCCCAGGGGGTCTACGAGCTGGACATTCCTCTGCCAGCAGGGGGAGCCGGCTCTCTACTGTTGGAGCCACAGGGGTCCGGGTCTGGCACTGAAGAGGGCGCCCTCTATTGGTCAAAACATGTGAGAGCGGGAGATTACAACACGCAAACTGAGGCTTCTTGTGTTCGTGGGGGAGGGGGTGTCACCACCAAACAGTACTCGGCACCCCCAGGCCCTTCTGCCCAGCCCCAACCCGGGGCAGGGGCTGCAAGCCTTACTTCATGGTCTCCCGGGTAGTTTCTTAGTGAGGAGGCTTACACGGTACCAGGGGCACAACTCCCTGCTTCCCGGAATTCTCTCTCTAAAGGCTCCACATCTCCTCTCCTTGTGTGTGTCTGTGTGGGACCACAAAGTGCATAGTGTGCACGTGCAGTAAGCTGTGTGCGACGGATGAGGAACGACGCAGGGACGCTACAACAAGGTTGGGGCGTCGGGCCAGTGCAATGAATACTGGAAGACATGGAACCTGCGCTTGGAACCAAGCAAACCACCGTCCTGCCCACGTCTGCTCTGCTGAGTGAGCCTGATTTACTGACTTTGCAGTGTTACCTTTACAAAACAAGGTGTTTTATTTCTAAAAGCAGAATAAGCTAGCGAAGGTGGAAACCAGTGAGTCCCGAGCAAGAACAGTCCCCCAGGGCAGAAGAAATCTTCCTCTTCACCGAGGGCCGCTGGCGCCCCGGGCCTGGGCTCCGAGTCCCCTTGGCAGCGCAGCCCCAGTTCACTGCACCTCGGGCTGCAAGGCCTCCGGGGGGTCAGCGCCGCGCTTCCGGCCCGGCCCACCCAGGGCGTTCCTGATGGCCTCGCAGGCCGAGGGAGCTGCAGCCACGCGCGCCTGAGCAGCGGGGACCGAGCACCGACACAGGAGGCTCAGCAAGGCCACGGGGATGACCTGTGGGGAAGAGGCGGTGAGAACACAAGGCTGAGCAGGAAGGTGCTAGAGTATTCATTGGGTGCAGGAGTCGGGAGCCAATAGGCTGTATGCAAAAACAGACGGTTGTTAATCCTCGAGAGTGCTCATAAAATGCATGAAGGGCTGAGACTGAGAGGAAATCTGCACCCTGACCCAGAAAACTCCTGTTCATCCCTCAAAACCGAGCGAAAGAAACTCTTTGTACTTTTTGATTCCCTCCAAGACAGAAAGGTCCTTTCCTGCACCTTTTCTGCACCCTGTCACCACTTGTCACAATCAGATCTCACCCATGAATGTGGAGCTTCCCGTGACAAAATACCGCTAAGCTTTGTCCAACCAAGTTCCTGGTACTATCCTGAAAGTACTCGCTAAGTACATAGTTGTCGAGTGACCAGCAGGGGGCAGAATACCTGTTCCTTCTCCTGTGCGACCTGGACGTGGCAGGAGATGGGCGCAGCCCGAATTTCATCTGTCAGGGGCTGAGGAAAGTGGATGGTTTGGAGGAGGCTCTCAATACATCGCACTTTGGATTGTCCTGAGAACCGCTGTGGACAGAGTGGACCGGGCAGGGGTCAGAGGAGGAGAAAGGGGAAGTCACAGGCCGGGATCGTGAAGGCTGGTTTGTCTCACAATCCCCAAGGGTATAGAAGCACTGGGTAGCTGGGCATAGTGGCACATGCCTGTAATCCCAGCACTTAGGAGGCTGAGGCAGGGCAGCTGGAAGTTCAAGGACAGTCTATGTAAGCCTTACAGGACTATGTAAGCGATTTCCAGGCCAGCCTGAACTACATATCAAGACCCTGTCTCAAATTCCTTCCACCAAAAAAAACCCAACCAGTGGGTTTGCAGGAGTTGGTGGTGGGCAGTGCTTGGCTGGCATAAGCCGAAATTAATGGTAAATTGGCCAAACTTTCAAATGTGTCCTAACAACACAGTTTGGTTCATTTTAACCTGAACTCTCTCCAGTTTCCTCCCTAACCAGATCTACCCTGCACCTCACCTGTGAGATAGCTTAGCAGACTGGGCATCTGCTTAGGCAGGCGCAGGGACCAGGGTTTGATCCCTAGCACCACATGCAGTGCCATCCTGGCCCCAAGAGTGCCAAGCCTGCCACTGAAATTGGGCGTGGTGGCACATGCCTGTAATCCCACAGGAGGGGAAGCTGAAATGGGATTCACCATAAGTCCACACTGTGAATAAATATATGAAATTTAAAAAGAAAAAAAAAAGATACAGGTGGCTGAGTATGGTGGTGCACACCTGTAATCCCAGCACTTGGGATGTTTAAGTAGGAGGATTGCTATAAGTTCAAGGCCAGCCTGAACTACATAGCAAGATTCTGTCTCAAAAAGAAGATGAAATTAATTATTATTATTATTTTTTTTTTTTTGCAAAACCGGGGATTGAACACAGGCCCTTGTGCTTGCCAGGGAAGGGCTTATTCTACTGAGCCATCTTCCCAACCCCGAAATTAATTTTAATTAATTTACTTATTTAAATTAACACATTCAAATCTCTCAACATATAAGCAATATTTTTTTCACATAAGCAATCCTAAAAGTTATGAAGGAAGGTAATTTATAACACTTTTATAATAAATTTTGATTTCTGGTGTATATTTTACAACTACAGTACACTCCAATTTGGGTATTCAATTTGCAATGTTAAAAAGTGAAATGCAAGGGCTGGAGAGATAGCTCAGTGGAATAAGTGCTTGCCTGGCATGCACGGGGTCCTGAATTCAATCCCCAGTACCACCAAAAAAAAAAAAAAAAAAAAAATAGTGAAATGCAAACCTATCAAAATAATAAAATTGTATTTAATGAAAATCTACATTGCTTCATTTTTTTATATAAAATAAAAAATTCAGCTGGATATAATGGTGCACACTTGTAATCCCAGCTACTCAGGAGACTGAAGCAGGAGGATTACAAATTCAAGTTCAGTCTGGGGAACTTAGTAAAACCCTGTCTCACATTAAAAAGTAAGTACTGGGGTGAGGATGTAGCTCAGTAGTAGAGTATCCCTGAGTTCGATCCCCCATACTGCAAAATAAGTAAGTAAATAAATAAAATTAAAACTCTGTTCTGGGCCAGTCAGATAGCTTAGCGGACTAAAGCACCTGCTTAGGCCAAGTGCAATGGCAGGGGCCCTGGGACGCGCTGAGACTGTGATTGAGACTGGGCGTGGTGGCATGCACCTGTAAACCCAGAACTTGGCAGGCTGAAAACAGGAGAATCACTACAAGTCTGATCTACATAGTGAGACTCTGTACACCCTGTAGACCCTGTACTAAATACCAAAAATAAATAGATAAAATAAAATTCTGTTCCTCAGTCAGTCAAGCTTGATTTCAAGCACTCAAAAGCCACATGTGAGGGCCAGCGAGACAGCTCAGAGGACTAAGCACCTTCTTTGGTAAGATCAGGGACTAGGTTTCAATTCCTGGTCCCCATGCCACACTGGTCCCGCCCCTGGGGTACAATGAGCCAGCGACTGAGTCCGAGCATGGTGGCGCACTCCTATAATCCCAGCAGTGGGGAGGCCAAAAACAGGAGGATCACTACAAGTCCGAGCTGCACAGTGAAACCCTGTACGAAATACATAAATGAAAAAAAAAATTAAAAGCCACATGTGGCTGGTGGCCACCATTCTGGACAGCACAGCTCCAGCTATATTTGGCAAGCCCAAACTCCTGCCTGGTGTTAACCTTTCACCATCCCTTCCCTTTATAATCTTTCACTGCTGTATAAAATGACTCTTCACTCTGTCAGACCTATATCCACTACACACTATACCACGTTCCCCTTCTGGGCCTTGGCTAAAGCTCCTTCAAACAGGACTCTTCTGCCCTGCATAAACCAAGTCCTGATTCCCAAGCCTAGCTCAAATACTACTCCCATGAAGCCATCTCTATTATAGTACAGACTGACTCTACCTTCTTTGTTGTTCTATGGACTTCATTGAGTTCCATTGATTGTTTTAGGAATCCAGTGGGAATTCACTAAATGTGCATAGATTGGTTCTTTTTACATAGGGCAGCCAGATTTAGCAAATAGAAATGCAGGATATCCAATTAAAACTGAATTTCAGATACATAATAAAAAAATTCATATATGTCCCAATTATTGCATGGGACATACATATACTTTAAAACTATTTATATGAAATTCAAATCTAACTGGCTGTCCTGGTTTTTTGTTTGTTTGCTTTGCTTTGCTAAAGTTGGCAACCTTAAGGTCAAGGATGGTAACATTCAAGGCCACCCTTGTGCTATCTGCTCAGCAACTCTTCCTCTTCTTTCTGATTCTAGCACTTGGATTTTCCCCTGGAGAAATATTGTTCCCCATCATCAGGCTACAAGGCCTGACTGAAGCTCACCTGTGGCCCCTTCCTCTGCCACCATCTTGAAGGAAAGGTGTCCTGTCACTTGGAGGACAGTGATTGGTTCAGGAGTGCTCATGTGACCCCACACAAGCCAATGAGGACCCTTCCCTCAGGCATTTCTAGGAATCACAAGGACAAAATGCTCTCCTCCCACCAGGTTCACTAAATTGGCAGGATGTCCATTTGGCACTACATGATATGCCTTCTAGTGGATAAAATCTGCCAGAGTGCAAGCAACGCAGAGGAAAACAGAGCTAAAGGCTAAAGGTTCTAGATTCTGTCAGTAGGGCATCTGGATGCCCTAGAACAACCACTTATCTTTTTTAGCTTAAACCAATATGAGCTGTATTTCTGTTGTATGCTTGTAATTGGAAGTCTCTTGGCTAACAGTCACAGCTCATACTCATGTGCCCATGTGTCCATACACACTCAGGAGAGGATGCTCCTGATAAAAGGAAGAGGAGAAAAATTTGGCCACACCCCCACACATCCCCTGCCTCTGCAAAATGCCCTCCCACAGCAGCCTGGACGCTGAGCTCTGCCCACTACATTCCTACCTGCAGCATGGCCAGTGCCCGCCAGAACAGCTTGGAGTTACGGATGCGGAGGTCCAGCATGTGGTTTTGTAGGATCTTCCCCAGAAGCACGTGGGCCCCTGTACTCACCGTATTCAGCACCCACTTGGTGCTCAGCTCACGCTGGAACTTCTAAAAAAGACAGATGTATGGGGTTGTCAAAAATTAGAGGACAGGAGAGCCACAGGATGGATAAGAAACCACAGGTGGAAAACAAGAGAGCAAATAAAGAAAATGTTTGTTTGAACAACCCGGGGTTTACATCTTAGGACACTGGGTGTAAACCAGGACTGTCCCAGGCAAGCCCAGTAGCTTCAACCACTCCTGCTTTTGCCTACTGAGTAGACAAAAATCTCTGACTCTTTCTGTAGTCGGGTTTTCCTCTTGCTAATGTGTCCTTTTGTTCCTTGGTAGCAGATAAGGAGAAGTGTAAGCCTTGGGACTCATCCGCTAAATGAGGCAGAGGTGGTGTCTTTGGATAATGGCTGACACAGGGCTGCCGATCAATGGAAGTCAGTTGAAGAATGAATTCCCTTTAACCCTTAGAGCATCCCTGTGCAATAGGTGTTTCTATCCCCACTTGTATGTGTGAGGAAACCAGAGGTCAGACATGAATTAACTTGAATAAGTTCATATGCTAGTGAGATACGGAAGCTGAACTAAATCTAAGTCTTCTGATTCAATAAGGAGGGCATTTCCTACTGAACCAGTGAGAGAATGTGGGGAAGCAAGGTGAAAAGGAACACACACACACACACACACACACACACACACACACACACTGTGAGTATGCCCACCACCTATCCTTGGCCCACATAGCTTGCTCAGTTTGTGGGACTTATAACATCTATTATTGCACTCAGACAGCAATAGGGGTATTAAGAGGATTGATATGGTCCTGGCAGACTAGGAAAACAGGTTGTGACTACTTTTATCTCTTTAATCTAGAGCTGCTGAAATAGTTGGGCAAATAAACCCCTGGAAGAGAGTATTGGAATGTATTTAATAAGTGCAGGACAGAAATCTGACCAGTGAAGCTGGCTGGTGTATGTACTGATTCTGTAAGCTGTATGTCACACTGTCCCTAAGAAAGAGTACAATTAAATTTGGGTTATATCATTATACTACTAACCATTTTTAATTCTTTTTTTTTTTTTTTCAGAACCTGGGATTGAACTCAGGCTCTTGCACATGCCAGGGAAGCTCTTATTCCACTGAGCCATCTCCCTGGCACTACTAACCACTTTTATCATAAACTATCTGCAACACAAATGTATTTAAAGGTTAACATAATTTGGAGCTAGACATGTCCATTTCATTTTTATTATTTTGAGGCTTTCACTTTGGGTTTATTTATTTTGGCAGAACCGGGGATTGAACTCAGGCCCTTCTGCTTGCCAGGCAAGCGCTTATTCTACTGAGCTATCTCCCCAACCCTATTTTGAGGCTTTCAAAACAGAGATTGAATATGTAGCTCAGACCGGCCTTGAACTCATTATGTACCTCATAGAATCTGTGGTGATCCTACAGGCCTGTACCACCACACCCAGAGACATGTTGATTTTAAAGTTCATATGAGAAAATAAACTTTCAACAATAGCTAGGAAAATCCTTGAAGAAAAATGATGGAAAGATTAATCCTACTGTGTACTACACATAACATAAAATATCTATAATTAAATATAAGGTAGCAGCAGCACATCAGTAGAAAGACCAAAGAAACTGAATGGAAAATCCAGAAGTGAAGTAACGCACAGGAAGTTGAGTGTGTGATAAGGCAGCATCCCAAATCACTCAGGAAAAGATGTATTTAGTAAAGTACATTGGAAAATTACATGAAAGAATATAGAACTGAAATGCATGCCTTGTCCCATTACATAAGAGCAAACTGAAGCATTAAACATCTAAACATACATTTTTAAGTTTTGCAAGAGTTCACATATAATAAAAGAAATTCAGATGAACACTACACATAAATGGCACTGCTTATCTATCAGGTCAACTGACCTAAGTCCAAAAGCTGGACTTATCCTGAGAAAGGCCCACCGGCAGTGGCATGCTCACGCACTGCTGATATGAAAAGTAAATGATACAACTCTCACATAAGAAAATTTTACTGTGTTTAACAAAATTACTTATGCATTTGGCCACTCACCCAACTGTAATACTTCCAGAACTTATCCCAAAAAGACACTTCTAACACTACAAAAATACATGCATACTCACTACCTTATTGGCAATAACAAAATCCTCAAAACAAGCTAAATGCTCTACATAGGAGATGACCAGCTAAACTATTGTACATGCACACAGACACATAAGACACCACCCACACACACTCGCCCACTCCACCCCCCACACTAATGAGGAAGGGATCTTTACTGATATTTTTAGAATATTTTGTCAAACAAAAATGGAAGCTGTAGGGCTGGTGAGATGGCTCAATGGTCTAAAGCACCTACTCAGAACAAGCTTAGCAAAGCACAGGGACCACGGTTCAATCCCCCGGCACCACATGCCAGCCAGCCCAGCCCCCTGGTGGGCTGAGCTGGCCACACACACAAATAAATAAATAAAAATGCAAGCTGTAAATCAGGTGTGTTACACCTTTGCCTAAGAAAAAATGTTTTCTTTTGTTTTTGTTTTGCAAAAAGCACAGCAAAGAGTATTGAAATATGAGTGTGAACATTATATAAGAAGCCTACGTGAGTAAACTCACATCTTAAAAATTAACATGAAACAAGTAAACCAGGTCTGGCGGCACATTCCTGTAATTCCAGCATTTTGAAAGGCTGAGGCAGGAAGATCCCAAGTTTGACCCCAGCCTGTACCTCTGCATTTTCCTGGAAAATAAGACCTAATCAGAAAATAATCAGTCTTGGGCTGGGGAGATAGCTCAGGAGAATAAGCACTTGCCTGGCAAGTGCAAAGTCCTGAGTTCAATCCCCAGTACCGCCAAAAAAAAAAAAAAAAAAAAAAAAAGAAAGAAAGAGAAAAGAAATGAATCAGTCTTGAAAATTAGAGATAAAAAATGTCAGCCCCAGTAACCTTGCCTTAACTGCCACGACAGGATAGCTGCTGAGCAAGAGAATAGTGAGGTAGACTCTTCTGCACAGCCCCTGGCCATTACCATGGTAACAAGCAGCATTTATTTTCCAGTTAGATCTTATTGGGGGAAAATACAGAATTTAGTAACTTAATGAGACCCTGTCTGAAAATTTTAAAAAATTAAAAAGGGCTGAGGATATAGCTCAGTGAAAAAGCCCTGGGTTCAAAGACTGCTGCCATTAAAATACAATAACAACAACAAAAGATTATGAGTCCAGAAGGACACTAACCAAACATAAATAGAGAAAAAGAAAGTAACAAGATGCTGTTCCTTGCATAAGAATGTCAACTAATGATATAGATAGAAGGGACAGAAATAGATACCACCATCGTGAAAACTGAGAGTCACCAATGGATGCTCAAACCAGAGGTGAGAGAATGCTGAGCAGTAGGATGAGGGGAAGCTAAGAGACATCACCTTCACCAGGGGACCAAATGCAGCCTCATCAAGAAAAGCGGGGGCCAGGGAGATGGCTCAGTAGAATAAGTGCTTGCCTGGCAAGCGCAAGGGCCTGAGTTCAATCCCTGGTTCCGCCAAAATAAAAAGCAAAAAACAAAACACTAAAAAAAGAAAAGAAGCTGACATCAGCTACCTCCTGATGGGACTCACTGGTAAGGGAACAACTTCCACTGTGTGCCCTTGCCAAGAAATTTAACCTGAATAGAATGAAGAAACAATAAACCCATCCAAAGTGAGGCATAGTCTTCAGATTGGGTTTCCTGCTTATGTTTCTCTAGCTGCTTCTTTACTTCATCTGCTACGAGTTCTGAGAGTTCTTTTTTAATTTCAGAAAAGAATTGCGCTCTGATTTCTTCTATATCTTTCTGCTGCTGCTTATTTACTATCGACGCTCTTGATTCATGCATTTGAGCCGAGCTAGTGT